AATAGATCCTAATTGAACACACACACACACACACACACGAACACACACACACACATACATACACACACACACACCAAAATCTAACACTTCAAGGCACTCCATGGTTCCACCAAATATTATCAAATGTTAACGTTTGTAGAGAATGCTGACATTTCACAAGCATTAAATCATTTGTTCACATTATGTGTGACAAATTTTTTATAGAGGACTATTTTGCCAGTTTTCCATCAAGGAAACTGTTAATTAATGTTATAATTAAATTATTTCTGTTCTTTTAAATGTTAATGAATATAGTATTATGTATTCATTAAATGCCCACCTCCACCCACCTCCCCAGCCAAAAATAAAAAAAGCCTTTCTGCTAGATATGCTTTTGACTAGTTGTTTTTATTGGGATGGTAATGATGCCTGTTTCTTCATCAGTGTCAGTCATCATTCACAATAAAGAAATCTTTTTCTTAACAGCTTAGGATAGCATCAACTTAATTTCAACCAATATTTGTATTGTCTTCTTATTAACGTCTATGGAAAAGAAATCCTAGCGTCAACAATGAGTCTTTGTCACTGAGTCCTATTTATTAATAAGGATTAGAGATATGACAGATCCACACTGCTAAAGTAGACAGGCCTGTCTAACAGTTTGACAAATATCCAGTCTAAGAAATATGTATTCAGTGCCCAAGGCACTGAGCTGAGTACTGGGTCCTTTATTTGAAAGGATAGCAGATATAAACAGACACAATTTAAGGATGCAATTTTGAAAGGAAATGTGAGATGGAGGTAAATTCATGTGTGTGGGAAGAAAAACAAACAAGGTCTACACCTATGCTTTTATCTCCACAATAACAAACTTCCAATTTCTCACTCTGGAAATCCAGTTAATTATCCAGATCAGTGACATGTACCCAATGAGCTCCTTATACATATTCATTGTATTGAGGATTCATCAACCATTAGACAATCCTTTCTATTCCAATTCCATGAATTTGTCATATTTCACATTCTTAGTGATTAATTGATGGATTTGCTGGTTTTTCTCTAGATGTTTGTTATGCAGGCAAAATTTTAGTGTTAAAAGTAAAATGACTAAAATTTCCAAATGAGCTCCTTTGAAAGTCGTAGTAAAGCAACAGAATTAAGAGAGTCTCCAGTCAATGGAAATAATTTTAGCTTTGGGTTGAGGTTGGTGTGTACACAAATCAATCAATATTAAAACATTTATTAAATGTTGGCCATGTCACAGACACTATGATGTTGGGATTAAAAGGAGCTCATATTCTCTGGCCAGGGGGGTTTATATAAATACAAAAAATATGCAAAGCAAAACAATTTTGAGGGAAGGAGGCATTAGTAGTTTGGGGTATTCAGAAAGCCCTAACCTAAGAGATAAAGTTTGAGCTAAGCTTTGAAGGAAGCTAAAGATTTGAAGAGGGAGTACATTCTAAGAAAGGGGGTGGGAGGGACAACTTGTACAAAGGCACGGAGACAAGATGAAGTGCTGTATGTGAGGTCAGTTTAGCTGGACCTCAGAGTGCAGAAATGGGTGGGTAGGAGCCATAGTGTTAAGGGTTTTCAATGTCAAAAGAAGTCTGTAATTTTTCATAGAGGTGGGGGAGGCACAGGAGTTACTGTGAAAGAGAAAACCTTGGTCATACCTGAACTTTAGGAATATCATTTTGCTGACTGTGTGAATGATGGATTTCAGAGAGAAGAGATTTAGAGGCAGGTAAGTGAGTCAGTGGCTAGCACTGGGCTTTGAGTCAGGAAAATCTGAGTTGAAATCTGCCCTGAGATATTGCTAGCTGCATGCCCCAGGGCAAGTTATTTAACCTCTGCCTCAGTTTCCTCACCTGTAAAATGGGGATAATAATAGCCCCTACCTCCCAGGGTTGTTAGGATCAAATGTGAAATACATTTATAAAGTACATCAACAAACCTTAAGCCTCTATAAAAATATTAGCTATTATGTGAGGTAGGGAGAATTTGGTATTTATTGCAGTAGTTTAGGGGGAAGGGTAATGATGACTTGAACTAAGGAGGTGATCTGTGAGCAGAAGGAAGGGGATGATTGTATGTTGCAGAGGTGCAGTTGACAAGATGAGGTAATTGCTTGGAAATGGGGGATGATGGGGGATGATGCAGAATACAGAGTTGAGATTATCTCCAACGTTTCAAACCTGGCTCACTGGAAGAATGGTGGTACACTTAAAAGTAATAGGGATATAAAGAAGAAGGCTAGGATTTTGAGGAAAGGGAATGACTTCTAGTTTGGCTCTGTTGAGCTTGACATGTCTATGATCAACATAGCTGTAATCCAAATTATCATTACAGTGATATAATCAGAAATGCTGAGATTTTTCAATGTGGTGGTGATTATTTATATAGAATAATGACCTTTCAATTTGCATAACCCTGAATGTATAAATATTATTTGTATAGAATAAGGACCTTTCAACTTGCTAAACTCCAAATTTGTCAGTTTGAATGGCAAATTAGAAGGAAATCATTCAGCAATACTGAAGAGGGGTTTGGCTTCAGTACAGCCTCCCATAGGAAGTCTTTCCTGATCTTTTCAGTTATTAATGCTCCTTCCCTCCTCTAATTATCCTGTATTTAATAATCTATTTACTTGTTATATCCCTGTAGTAGACTATAGAAATCTTGGAGGGCAGAAACTCTTTTTCATTTGTATGTATCTCCTCTGATCTGCACAAAATAGTTACGTAATAAAACATTTTTTAAAATTAATGAACTAGAAATTCCTTCCCTTACTTTAATGCTGTAAGTCTTGACTAAAGAATTACAATGGTAATTCAATTTAATTCAATTTAACAAGCATTTAATAGAAGATAAGAGGCTCTCTCCCTCCTTGCCCAATTTTCCTTGTATTTTTCTTCTCTCCTGCTGTTGTCATCTTCAAAAAGGCACTACTAATTTATTACAAAATACCTTTTTGCTTTCCTTTTTTCTGAATTTTGTATTTTTGGCAAAACAAGACTAGTTTAAAGTCACAAAGAAAATAGGTTACAGATAAAAGGGTAGGAAAGAAAGGATCACAGAATCATAGAATCTTGGAGCCAAGAGAGACCTTAGAAATTATCCAGTCCAATCTTCTTTTTTACAGATGAAGAAATTGAAACTTAGAGAGAAGGCACGTGCCCAAGTTTGCCTAACTAAACAACAGAAGAGTTAGAAATTGAATTCAGGCCTTCTGAGTTCAAGGTCAGCACTTTTTCCACTACAAAATGCTGTAAAGTCTGAGTTTTAAATTAAAACTAAGATCTAGCACATTAATTGGACATACTTACATTGCCAATAGCATAAAGGCTGATGCCAATTTTCCAGGCTTTGGGGTAGGCCAGGGGAAACAGTCCTAGGCTTTGAAAAATTTAAAGATATGGGTTTATTAAATAAAGGCTCTGCTGCATGACTTTGAACAAGTCATTTAGTCCCTCTCTCTATTTTTTCATCCAGGAAGAGGAGATAAAACTTAGATACTACCAACCTCACAGGGTCATTAAATGGACCATGTTTTTTGTTTTTTTTTTTTTTAAATGCTACATAAAAACAATAAGCAAAAGAAATTGGATTTGGAGCTGGAGGGACTTGGGTTTGAATCCAATCTCTGCAGCATAGCAGCTTTATAACCTTGAGCAAGTCACTTCTCTATAGGGCTCCAAGTCCTTCCTCATCGACAAAAGGGGGTTGGACTAGATAACCTCCAAGCTTTCTTCTAGTTCTAAATTCCATGATCCTATTATAGCTGTATAAGATTGTGAAGGAGGTGGGGGGAGGGTTTAACCCATCTGCACAATTTCTTTGTTCGGTTAGAAGATGAAGTTGGATTTATTCAATATTTCTCACAAAAGCGCTTGCCACTTTTATGTAAGCACAACTCCACTGCAAGTGCCTAATGGCCAAATACAGCACCAGCTTTATTGTGCCTAGGCCAGCAGAAAAATAAAATTACCACATGATTGTAACTAGTGCCAAGGAAAATAGAAACTGACAGTAATTCAGCACTCCCTCTGATAAAAGCTCATAATCCATATGCAGCATCCAGACCTGTGCCAACACAGGGAAATTAGATGGTTTGTGTCAAGTAATACAGTTACAAAGAAAAAAACACAAATAAAAAGAATTTGAGTCCCCACATTTATATTTAAAACATCTTACACAGAAGACGTAGATGTAGTTTAAAGAAATATCTAATCACATAGAAGAAGAACCCAGAAGGGTTGCTCTATAATATGTAAAGTCAGTTTAAAGCGATTCAACAAAAATTCGTTAAGTGCCTAGTATGTGCAAAGAGAGAGGTCTGGCATGGTTAGTAGGAAAGGGCCAGCCTTGGAATCAGGAAGATCTGGGTCCAAGTCCTGTCTCTGACATGTGCTGGCCATGTGACCATGACCAAGCCACTTAACCTTTTAGCACCCCAGGCAAATTTCTAAAATAAATAATAGACCAGTTGCCAATCTTCATATGTGGAGGGAGTTTCCACACTGGGAGTCCTTTACATTGAAACAATCACAAGACTATATTGTTTCCCCCTCATAAGAAGTGAGATGGAAGGTGGCATTAAGTGCTAGAAAGATCTAGAACCTTGGAGTCATAGATTTTTAGACTCAGATGTGACTTGACCCAATCAACTCTCTCGTTTCCTAGAAGAGGGAAATCCCTGGTCTGTTGTTTGGTTGCTTGTCATAAAGTTCTCTTACTCTGTTAAGGAAATATCTTGATAATTCTGTGGTTTTTAAAAATAACTTTTTAAAGCACACTCCCTTTTAATTTTCATTTAAAACAACAATCCTCAAAAAACAAAACCCCAAACCTTTATCATATTGTAATGATCAATTATTAGAATAAATTTCAGAAACAGACACTTTAAAAGAAAACATTTGTCAAACGGTTCACTAATTTCTAGGTGCACAGTCTGTCAGATGACTGTATAAGACACATCTAAGTTTTCCAACAACCAGTGCTGTGTATCTGTACTCTACCTAGTTCCTCCTCTGCTGGCCCTGGAAAACTGATCCCAGGCTGGGCTAGATCTCCGCCCTCTTCCTCTGTAAAGACAGAAACAAAGTAAGGGTTTAACATCTCTTCACCTTGGATCACAGTCTTCCAAAGTGAATCTTTAAAACAATTGTTCATTCCCAAACATTTGAGATTTTTGCATTTTTTTTTAGGTGCTGTGGTTTGATATTGAATGACTGCTGGAAAGTCTTTCCTTTGCCCTGAAAAACAGACCTAGGAATTTGTGTCCATATTTCTCTCATCTCTGTTTCAGTACCAAGGCAGTGCCATATTTACTTGGTGTGTCCTGATCATTCATATTTACCTGAACCTGGATAGCCTCAGATCAATTTAGAATTTCAAAAGCTATGCTAAAGGAAGAATCTTAGAAAGACTTCTCTAATTATTCTGTGCTTCATCTGGCTACATCAGGGATTGCTGTTATTGTTTTGAATGGTCTGTTTTATCCAAAATACTAACTCATTTCCACCTATTGAAAGAATATTATAGTCATTGATATTTTGCCCATGTTAACTGTCCATGTAAAAGCATATACCTGAATTACAGAATTGAAGAGCCAGAAAAGAACTCAGAGCCCATCTAACACAATCCCCTTGCTTTATAGATGAGCAATTTGATACCCAAACAGAAGTGATTTGTCCAAGTTAATGTAGCTTGGACAATATCATATACATCATATTACATATCAATCACGTCTTCTCCCCTTTAACTTAATATTTTTTTCCACTACATAGTTGCTTCTATCTCTGTGGAGCTTTATTGGTGTTAATGATGACAGTCATATCTATATATTTCCAGGTCTGTTATTTGGAATCAAGAAGTATCAAAGAACATCAGATTAATACCTATACATATTAACATATGTATGTATATACACATATATATATAATATTGGTTTGGCTATGTAGAGAATCTATTATTGATGATAGCTGACACATAATAATTTATGTATTGAAAAGCATTTTGAGTGCATTTGATCCTTATTAGCAGCACAACAAGATAGGTCCTAACATTATTAGAATCATAGCTCTGGAGCTGAAAGGAAACTTAGAGGCTATCTGATCCAGTTTCATTTTATAGATGAAGAAACTGAGGCCCAGGATATTCATGGGATCAAAGATTAAGCACTAGGAGGGTCTTTAGAAGTCATCTAGTTCAACCTTTTTTTTATAGATGAGGAATCTGAGGACCAGTGAGTTTACATGACTCGCCAAAGGTCATCCAAGTATTAAATGTCATAGCCAGCATTTATACTCAAGCCTTCTGACTCAACATTTAACCCTGTTCCACCACTTGGTGACTTGTCTATAGGCACAGAGGCATTGTACATTAGAGATGAAATTTTAATTGAAGTTCTCTTACTAGGTTTGAACCCAACTCTTTCCTCAGTCTAGTGCTTTTGCTATTGCACAGTACATAGTGGAAACAAATTCACCCTTTTAGTGCATTTTCCTTAATTAAGTAACTTGTTTCTATCCAACATATATATGTATATATATATATATGTATATGTATATATATATATATATCTCCATTAATCGTGCATGTTTATCTTTGTATATACACTCTTTCCTCCCACTGCTTACAGTTTTTCTTTTTGTTACAAAAATGAACACATCACTGCATTAACATTGTACTCTGGGAAGAAAAAAATACCTCAGGCATACAAATATGAAATCATATTAAAATTACTGGGAAGGTTTATAAATGGGTTAATATATGGATTCACATATAAAATAATATAAATGGATAAATCTCAAAACTGTTTTTTCTGATACAAAAAATGATATTTCAAGTGCATTATTCTATTTTTGGACCCCTGCACACAACCACAGTTTAGAATAAAATGTCACATACCTCCAAGGTAACATGCATTGCCATAAATATATGTTTAAAAATAGTTCACACATATATTGAAATGCATACTGCAGTTAAATTTGAAAACCTATTCGTTTCATCTGTAAACCCATTCAGAGTTGTACTAGTTATAAATGGACTCTGTCATTTCAACTGTTTGTGAAAAGAAGATGATTTTGAAATGGGAATGATCAATTGGATATTGGCTGAAGCCATATTCTACTGTCCTGGATTGTGTTTACTGAATACTTAGCCAGAGGTCATCTGTTTTCTAAATGCTCCTTTGAATTGAAATAAATACTTTAGAAGACAGTTTATAAATATATATATATATATATATATATATCTAGTACAATTCAACCAGTCTCCATTTTTTGCGTGCTTATAGCACTTTCAGCATTGTCTAATTTTTTCCCTCCCAGCTAATGAACTATCTACCAGAAAGCTTGTCAGTCCAATAACCACATTAAGAACAATATGAAGCCAGAGATGGATATGCTTTCTGCTTCTTTTTGAAATCTAATGGACAGTTCTAATTAAATACCCTCTTTTATTGGCCAGTTTCCATGGAGATAATGGTCACATGATCAACCTGATTAACTCCAAAGCAGAATCTGCATTTGTTGCCAAAAACAAGAATGTTTGACTATCAGAATGACCAATAACTAAAAGCAGAATAGACATTACATTTTAAATCAAGTTCCATATCGTGCCCTCTTAAACTAGAACAAGCTCTCAGGTTTGTGAGAAGACTGCCTCAGATTCCAATGGAAATGAAATTTCAAGGGTATTGTATGCTTGAAGTCTTTTTTCCTCAGCCAATAGGCAAAAACTGTGACTAGTTACATTGGATCATTGTAGGCTGGCAGTTCATCAAATCAACTAAATAACTAACAAACATTTATTAAGCCCATATTACGTTCCAGGCACCATGCTAGGTACTGGCAAATACAACGAAAATAGCAAAAGACAGTTCCTGCCCTTGAGGAGTTTATATTCTAATGGGAAAACATAACATGTATAAATTATTCTGTGATCAGGTTAATAATATGATGTAAGTGAAAGTGCTTCATTAACCATAAAGGCTAAAGAAATAGGAACTATTAATTTCCAGCTAACTCTCCATCTTGCACCTGCAGCTCCTGCTTGGTTAGAACTCCATGAAACATGATTGTATCCCCTGGTGGTCACCTGCCTCTGCTCACCCTTTCTAGCTTCCTCTTGTGTGTTGTCTTACCCCCATTAGATTGGAAGCTCCTCGAGAGCAGGGACTGTTTTTCCTTTTTAATTTGTTCCCCCAGCACTTAGCACAGTTACCTGGCATATAGTAGGTACTTAATAAAATGTTTGTTGAATTGAATTATAACAACTACCAAAATTGTCTGAAATTCAAATTATCTTCCATAGGTATGGATCTCTCATGCCTAATGGTCTCTGTCTTTACCTCTCCCTCTAGAAATACTTTGAGCACTTTGAGGCTCAGTTCAAATGATACTTATATAAAACTAGAATGACCAAGATATTGATCCCTACCTCAAGAAGCTTAAAAAATAGTAGGCAAGATAAGGTATAGACAAAAGTAAAAACTAATAAAATCAGATACATGCATAGGAGAGGTACAAATTTCTACAAGACAGCTGACAGATAAAATGCATTTACATGGTAAAGAAAGAAGCCAAGGTCTTGCATTCAAGATAGTCTATTATATACAAATGTTTAGCAAGTATCTGTTCATTAGGTTTTGCAAAAATATTGTGAACATAAATAAAACCAAGTATGTATGTATACATTATCATTCTGTAAGCATCTCAGACTCAGGTTCTGAAAGAGAATTTATTATATTTCTCCTAAAACTCCTTTTCTCCAAATTTATCTATTTTCATGTCATTTTCCTACTCAAAAATCTGCATTGCCTCCCTATTGCCTCTAGAACAAAGTATAAAATCCTCAGCCTGACATTTTAAAGGCAGCCAACAATCTGGCTCCAGTCTGTTTCCAGATTTCTATAACACAACTCCCCATCATGGATTCTCTATTCTAGTCAAACTGGTCTATTCACCTATTTCTTGTATATGGCATTCCATCTCCTAGCAGTGTGTGTGGTCTCCCATGCCTGGATTGCACTGCCATCTCACCTTTTCATCTTAGAATCCCTAGTGTCTCAATTCAGGTGCCACTTCCTATATAATCCTTTTCTGAAGTGTCCTTACCTCATCAAGTCTCCTAATTTTTCATACCTTCTCTGTCCTAAGGTAACTCTCTCTTTACACATCTGTGTAAATATTGTATCCTTTCAGTAGATTTTAAGTCCCTTGAGGACAGCGATTACTTCATTTTGGTTTTGTATTCTCAGTGCCTAACACAGTATCTGGTACAGAGCAAATCTTTCATATAATTGGCTTGAAATAGATGAATATGCATATTTTGAATATGAATATTTTGGATCTTCCTATTCTGCCCCTATCACTTATTAGGGGAAGAAAACTGAGCTTATCCCCTATTTGCATATGCTCAAAACAAAATAAATTTAGGATTCTATAATGGAACAATAGTTCCATTAGCTATGATTTTTAGACATTATGAGATTGGGAAACCATAAACTAAGTGTGTCTATAGCTCAACCCCTTTATTTTTTCTTATCTAAACCACTAAAACTGTCATAGCCAAAATGGACTAGTGCCTATATAGACAATATATGTGAGATTAATCTGTGCTGTAAAATTAATAGCATCTGTATCCCAGTAATGCCTAAATATCTATCACATTTTCTTGGCAAAAATAGAAGTGTTCCTTAGACTGAAAAAAAAAAATGGAATCATTCACTTACACATCTGAGTGCTTCTAATGAGTTTTAGTCTTCAATAGAGAAACACAGTCTTTTTACTGTTATGACTTCTGATGGGATTTTCCTTACTTCAGACTGCTCTCTTACAATATTTTCCAGCTGAATTCACTTTATGAATTATTTTTTCTTATATACTGGAGCCTAATGATAGCAGCATGACCTAACATAGCATATTTCACCTCTGGCAAATTGTGTGTGAAGTCTTTTTGCCTTTTCATTATCTTTTTTTTATATTATTATTATTATTAAAGAACCAATGCCTGAGTTTTACATAGACTGAACGATTTCTGTGAAGGAATTGTTTGTATCCTTCATGTAC